GCACATTTGCAAACCACAACCTGTGCACATTTGCCAACCACAAACAGTACACATTTGCCAACCAAAACCAGTACACATTTGCCAACCACAACCAGTACACATTTGCCAACCACAACCAGTGCACATTTGCCAACCACAACCAGTACACATTTGCCAACCACAACCAGTGCACATTTGCCAACCACAACCAGTACACATTTGCCAACTACAAACTGTACACAGTTTTCTATATTGTGGCAGTAAATAACATGTTGGTGACCATTACTGGAAATATTCCCTAATTAGACATGTGACTCTCTGCTGGGGTGTCTACTAATTTATGGTTCCACATCCCTAACAGAATAGTTTATTGTTTTACAGGGTGGCTGTGTTGACTCAAGACATCAAAGTTTAGCTTTGTTATTAATGGTCCTTGGCGAAAAAGATATTTCGAAAATATTGACTGGCCCTCTGTCAACGTACACGTAAGTTTTTATTGCATCATTATTGTGATATTATTATATTATGAGAATATCGCAAAACATCGCATCAACATAACTAGTTTTGTTTTATCATCTTTCACTTCACTAATTCGAAAATGTAATATATCTCTTCATTTCAGAATTCAGTTTTTAAGGCATCTTCGAGATTTTTTTCAAGTGATGTTTAAAATTGAGACTCAGTTGGCAGATGAAGATGAAGACAGAAACACTGGTGGTGATAAAATTGTATTGTCTTGTCTTGGAGTTGGATTTTCAAATCTCAATAAAACTATACTCTGAGACACTTTGTGTATTTTTTCCTTCCATGTTTATTAAGCGTGGTGCAAAAATCAGGAATATAGAACATATGATGTATCAGACTGCAAAACAAACAAAAGCAGTCTTTGCAGTTAACTTGTCTATTTACATGTGTTTATAATTGTATGTCTGTCTGTATGTCCATCCGTCCCTCCAAAATTCACCTCTTCAACTATTGTACAAATGTTTTTAAAAATAATTCATCATAATTAAAGGGCTCATACCACTAATTGAATATTAACATATGATCAGATTGCTATATGAAAATGATAAACAAAGTTGAAAACATGGCTCAAAAATAGGAATTCATGCCATTAATCAACCACATGGCCAGCTCAAACTCTTGCAAATCTCAGGTAAACAAGACACACTTACTGTATTTGGATTGCACCTAGAGAAATCACTGGAAAAACACCAAGATTAGAACATCCAAATACACACAGAATAAACCCACAGGTACACGGCCGCTAAGTAGTAAACCAAAGACCACATGTTAGTCTCGCTTTCGACCCAGGTGGTCATGCCCTCAAACAGGGAGCACGAGAAAAACAAATTCATTGGTTCTTGCTAGGCATTTAAATTGAGTGCTATGAACAGTACTTGGTTGATTAGTGGCATAAGACCTTAATGAAACTTGTTACTCTTGGCGTAGTCCTTAGATGTGGTTTGTTTAGAGTTGAATTCAATGCATATTAATTGCACAATTTAGCCAATCTCAACCATTTGTCAGATTTAAATTGAACTTGGTACAAAGGAGCTCTGGGTGCGCTGCGCTGCGCTGTGTTGTGTGCGTGCACGAATGCTTGCTCGCCTGCGTTTGTTTTATCAATGTTGTGACAAGTTCCATTTACGAACTAGTTGAGAAAGGCCAACCTCGATGTGGTTCGTAACCAGTCTTATGATTGGTTGTTGACAAATGCTGAGCAGGCCACGCCTCTAAACTGTGCCGCGCGTTCGGGCAAACCCGTAAATGGGGTCAATTTGTGTAGTTTTCTTGATTTATTCTGCAGATATAGGTAAAATATAGGTAAGGCTTTGGGGAAATTTGAAAGAACAACTAATATTCTTCAACCTGGTATTCGTGGAATCATTACGTATTTACACCTGCCACTAATTGCAACAAAGTCGTTTTATGGTCATAAATATCTCCCTCAACATCTACAGAGGAAGTTTGCTTTTGCTTTCGATTTTGTGAAATGCGGAAGGGCTAAAAACATAGTTGTAGAACTTCCGGATAGTTACGTGTGTAGCCTTACACATGTCGACTGACTGTGCTTTCACTTGCCAAGCAAGAAACAAACAATTGATAACCTTTTACCTGCCAATGGGTAATCGTGTGAAAAAAGGTCGAGATTACCAACATTACAATAAACGAAGTCTAACTTCCGTCAACCCTCGATATCCTAGTTACTTTTCAAATGCAGTTTTGAAACGCGCTTGGTTGCATTTGTCTTGTCCAGTGGCATCGTAATGTCGGCAAACACGAAAACGATTCTGGCGTTTATGGTTTTATTTTCTTTAAATGCATCTAACGCATCGACGTTGCTAGAAGTGGACGTTATCAGTGAAAAAATAAACAGATTAGCAGAGGACAGTTTAGGTGTGGCAGCTATACAGGTAAGTGTAGAATTTAGCGGTACGTATGCCATTCCATGTCATGACTCTGTGTATGGATGTTTTTATAGATTTATAACCACCTAGGCGAAGTTAATAAGATATTTTTCGCCATGTTTACTAGTATGTCAATTTCGTAAATCTGTACTGATCCCGATGAACTACTAAGATGTGCATAGCTGCGTTTACGACATTTCTGTAGAGCTATGCCAATCCAGGTGATTTACGAGGATACTCGTAATGCAGCATTTGCACAACAAGTGTCATTTCTCTGTCCACAGTAACAGACTCCATGACGCAGTGATGACTAATCATACGTATTGTTAGCATATCATGGATATTTCGGTGTTATTTATGACAGCCATTTCCAAATTAACATACCTACCCGGTACTATTTTACATATTTTACTACAAATTCTGTTGTAGTTTTGTTCATTATTGATACACTACTTCAAAATGTTCAATTTAAAATATTGTTGGTTAAACATGGACGGTACTAACCATCCATGGTTAAGGTAGCGTGAGGGGGAACACAAATAATAGTTAAATTGTGATTAGGACTATCCTCGCCAGTTACTGGGCATGCAGCTATGGCAATATACATGTTTCCAGAAAGCTAAGATATAGGAGAATACGGTCATGTATGTTAATATTTTCTCAGGGAACTAAGTTACGATCGTTCTCGCGAACCTCCTACACATAAAGTTTTTAGTGGGATTGGCCGTTTCTCGGTGTTCCTTTTTTCTATGTTTCTGACCTTTTCACTGTTGATTTATAAGATAATGATCTTTGAGAATGCGTCTCGGATTTTGTATGTGTCTCATAGTTTGGGAGATACTAGTATACTGGTAGTCCGTTGAACTTTGTGGACTCAATAAAACGTTTCTTCTAACTTGACTACGGATAAACAGCTAATTAATTACCAAATGTCTACCATTTCGAACATACTTTATAAATATACAAGTGTCTGATCTGCGAGGACTGTTATATCTTGAACAATTGGTTGGTTGTTTCTTAAAACGTATCAAAACTTGAAAAAGATGGCGCCCCGCGCGTTTAATTTATTCAAGTCCCTTTGTTATGTTGAACAGCGTCAACAGTACAATCGGTTCGCTAGACACAGGGCGGGCCTTCATGGCAGTATGTATTTACTTACATACATGCCTTCAAGTACAGATATGTTTGCATTACTCTCAGCCTATAGAGAGTGTACCGTTATCGGATTTGTCATAATCAAGTCAGCACTGTTTTTTTCCCTCCCGATGAAATGTGGCGTTGGCCATGCTTACATAGAACCACGAGTGGCATGGTGTTGAAGAGTGGTTCCAGATAGAAGAGGCTGTAATCCCATGTAACTACTAAATTTATGCATTGTGCGACGACCTTTTTCAATGACACAAGCTGCGACCACCAACTTACGGATTACAGCGAAAGAATGTTCACTCTTTTTGACGCCGGAAAAATATCAGTCACGAAGTTGCATTTTTGATTCACTTATAGTAAAGATGACTCCCCCAACCATGGCGGATGTTCGACTAAATTAGTTTAAGGTAGCTGCAAACAATGATCTAATCTGGCCAATAGGCTTCTGAACACGCGTTGCTATAAATATGTCAGTGGTTGCTAGGACCACATCCAGCAAGATACTGTCAACACAATGAATGCGTATTTGAAGAACGAACTGATCGAGAACATATAGATATAAATTATCACTGGTTGTCAAAATTTACTTTCACTCAGTATTTGTATGAATGTTTCACAACTGATTTTCACCGGGCGATATTTATAATTCTGAAGTAAAGTGTGTGCTTTGTCCAGTTGTCTCGTTCGCACATTTGGTTCACACACGTGCACAGTCCCTCTATCCTGATAGAGGGACTGTGGTTCACACGACGTTGCAGTATTATTTTGGATCAACAACTTGCATGCTTAAAGTAAACATTATAAACATATATTACAGGAATTTTATAAGTAGATTGTTTAATAATTATATTCTATAGTGGGAAATTCGCAATGCTCAAACCGTGAAACACATCCCTGGTAATCACGTGACCGCGCCAATGGCTGCAGCGATTGGCTGATCGCATGTGCAATCTTGTCACGCCTTAGCGATTTGTTATATAGAGTCTGTAGGAAGAGGAAGAAAACTGGGCAACGAGACGTGACCTCAGCTGACTGTTTGCATGAATAAATCTTTAATGAACAAACGTGTATTCATTTGGGTCGAATTTGGTATCTCTACGTCGTGTAAGTGTTATCAGCCAAGCGAGTCCCATTTCCCCGAGCACAACGCTTTGTACGCAACACATTTCCGGTATGACTCTTTCAAATAGTGAAATGGCTTAGAATTTGCATATTTTTGGGGAAATCCAGCCCCTGATTTGTAAAGTTTTTGAGATACAAGTATTTTAAATGTTTTCAACTATTAATCGAATAATCAATCCTTCAAGCAATTATGATCTTCTGGAGAAAAAAAAGAACAAATCACATTCTTCACATTCTTGAAAGATGAATGAATGGATAGATGAATATGCTAAATTTCTCATCAAAATACGCTGGTACACACGCTAGTAACTACACTTAGAGATATGACTGTAACAAAAGCGGCAATACATCATAATAACAAGTAATAGCAGCACACACTGAACGATCGCGGCCGATGTTTAAATGCCGGATGCGTCGGATTTAACACAAACAACAGATTCAACTAAGTTATGCAGCCATCTTTATTTATGGACTCACGTTGTCTTACAATATGCAAATGAGATGTGATCCAGTGGTCAAGATAAGTTTAGTCAATACACTACAATCCTTCTTTTTCCCCGGAACACTACATCACTCATTTAAACGAAAATGTCCTGGAGGTTGGTATAGTTCCTAGCACTAATGTCTCTTGATATAATTGCATGTCAACTCTTATAACAACAGCTTACAAACTCAAAATCTGGCATTGTTTCCAAATAACTACTAACTCTAATATAACAATAAACTTAAACTATTCTAGTAGGTCAGGGTGGACTAACAAAACCTACGTACAGCTGGGAGGATTATTCTGCCTCGTTTTCCATGCTGTTACCCTATCTATGTATCTCATTTAACAATTCAATAGTTCAATAACACAAATAGTCCTTTAAATACTTGGGTGCCTGAACTGTACGTTTTGCTCTATCTGGTGGTTCTGGTAAGGTTGCATCACTTTGACATCCAGAAGTTACATCACATGAATTATCAGTCTCTTTATCGCTTTGTTTCAGCTTTATCACTATCAGTCAGACATACTTTTTCACATGTGACGTGTTACGTTTGTATTTTACACCTGTTGGAGACTGGATAGTCACTTGGCTACCAATTTTGTCTATCACTTTGTATGGCATTTCTTCATACGGTGTAGATAATTTGTTTCTTTGCCTCTGATGTAGTAATACTTTGTCTCCTGGCTGGATGCTGCTTTCTCTTACATTTCTATGCGCATCCAGATAATCTTTTGATTTCTGTTTTAGTTCAGTGTCTCTATCTCTTATCATTCTGTCATCTTCTCTCAACCTGTTTTCTCCTGTTTCTGGAAGCTTTGTTCTTAACTTTCTTTTGAACATTGCTTCGGCTGGGGACATTCCTGTTGTCGTGTGCGGTGTAGACCAATATGCTAGAAGGAACTCATTTTAACTCCTTGTGCACATTACGTTTCTGAAGCTGTGCTATCTTCAACACTTTCAAGAGAGATCTATTCTGTCTTTCTACCTCTCCATTTGCCTGAGGCCATAAGGGGGTTGTATGTTTATGTCTTATGCCACACTCTTCTAGGTAGTTTTCAAACTCCTCTGAAATGAACTGAGGACCGTTGTCCGATTTCAAACCAATTGGATACCGAAGTGAAGAAAAGTGAGCATCGATACGTTCTATTATCTTCTCTGATGTTACAGTTTTCATGAAATCCACCTCAAAATATCTACTGTAATAATCAACGATAACAAGTATGTATTCACCGTTTGGTAGTGGCCCCAATAAATCTAATGCCACTTCTTGCCAAGGACCTGTAGGGTAGGTATAATCGGTTCACTAACAGATGACTGTGTTGTGACTGACTGACAACTGACATTCATGGCAAGACTTTCATCTTAGCTCTGCATCTTGATCAATGCGTGGCCACCAAACTTTTGTGCGCAAGCGTTGCTTCGTCTTTACGATTCCTTGGTGCCCCTCATGTCCCAAGTCTATAACTCGCTTCCTCAGACTCTTAGGAATGTCCAATCGAGTGTCTCTGAGTACCAGTTTTCCTAACACAGTAAGCTCATTTCTAACCGACTTGTAAGCAGCAGGGCAATTATTCCAATTTCCCAATGCTATGCATTCTCTAAGCTCAGTAATTTCCTCATCTTGTTCAGACGCTCATTCTATTAATCTTATTGGTATCGCATGTGGTGCCGCATATTCTGCTACATAACGAATGTATTCCTCAGTGTCATCACTATGTTCACTCTTATTATTGTCAACTAGTCTAGACAGTGCATCTGCGATGTTCTTCGACCCAGGTATGTATTCCACAATAAAGTTGTAGGACTGTAAACGTAGAACCCAATGTTCAATTCGCGCAGATGGCTTTGACTTATGTGAATATATCACCTTTAACGGCTGGTGGTCTGTTAACAGTTTAAATTCAATACCACATAAGTATAAATTGAATCTCTCACAAGCCCAAACTATGGCAAGGGCCTCCCTTTCTGTTTGAGAGTACCTCCTTTCTACATCAGACAGACTTCTACTGGCATAACACACAACTCTATTTTCACCGTTCTGTTTCTGTATCAAGATTGTGCCTAGTCCCACTGGACTAGCATCTGTAATCACTGTAGTTTCAGCATTCTGATCAAACTAAGCTAAAGTCCGTGCATCAGATAACTCATTTTTCAAGCGGTCAAATGATTGTTGTTGTTCGGTTTGCCATTCAAATTTGGTTCCTTTGCATGTTAATTTGCGGAGTGGCTCGGCTACTGTGGCTAAGTTTGGTATATATCGGGCAGAGAAATTTACTAATCCCAGAAAATTTCTCACTTCTGTTGAATTCTCTGGTGCTCGAGCATTTAAGACTTCTTCTACTTTTTCTGTAGTTGGACGGATATCATGTCTAGTCAGCATACTTCCCATGAATTCTAACTGAGACATTCGAAATACGCATTTTTCCGCATTCAGTGTCAGACCCTTTTCTTCAAAGCATTTCAGAACTTCAATTAATCTTTGATCATGGGTTTCATTGTCGGGAGCATGTATCACCACATCGTCAGATATATTTACGGCTCCATCACATCCAGTCAATACTTGTTGTATGATGTGTTGGTACATTTCTGGGGCAGAACTAATGCCAAACATCAGCCGTTTATATAGGAACAAACCATTATGTGTAGCAAATGTTGTGATACTTCTAGACGATTCCTCCAACTCGATCTGATGAAACCCCCACTTGAGGTCTAACTTTGTAAAGACCGTGCTTTGGCTCATGCTTTCTATTATTTCATCTACGGTAGGTATCTGATGTCTCTCTCTGACTACTGCCTGATTTGCCTGACGCATATCTACACATAGTCTGACATCTCTAGATGGTTTTGGTACTACTACAACTGGGCTGACCCATGGTATGGGCCCATTTACTTTCTCTATCACACCTAATTTAATCAATTCAGTCAGCTTGTCTTCTATTTTGCTTCTTAGGCTGAAAGGTGTTCTCCGTGGTTTCTGTGCCACCGGTGGTATGTCTGGATCAATGTGGATCTTTGCCTGGTAATCTTTCAATTTTCCTAACCCATTAAAGCACTTAGGAAATTTATCACGCACATTTTGTGTGTCAATCATGTTTGCCTGCAGTCCAAGCTTCAACACTCCGAGCTCTTGTGCTGTTTTTCTTCCCAAAAGTGAACGACCTTTGCCTTTAAACACGATAAATTCAGCATTTGTCATATTATTGGCAACTTGAGCAGTGGCTTGGAATTTCCCAAGGACTTCCAATGGCTTATCTGCTCCATAAGAATACAGCGACTGTGTTGACCTCTCAGCTTTACAGACAATTCCTTTTTGTTTCAAGGTAGACCATGTTGTTTCACAAATCACATTACATGTTGCTCCAGAATCAATGAGCATGTCTGAAATAACTACTCCACCCACCGTGACACTAATCACACTGGTGTCATTTGAGTTATTTTCTGGATGAACAGCAAACACATAGTCACCATTTGTCTGTACACAATACAATTTCTCTTTGTCTGAGTTTCCCTGTGTACCAACTTTCTCTGTGTTACCTTTGGTATGTTTTTAGTCTTGCATACTACTGCAAAATGTCCTGTTAGATGACATTTGTTACAGTTCTCAGATCTTGCTGGGCATTCCCTATCCCTGGCAAAATGTCCCTCTTTACCACAACGATAACATTTCTTTTTCTCTCTTCCTGGCTTCTTTTGTGACCTTATACCTTTATGGACTTGGTTGACTTCACGTTTAAGTTCACCTTCCATAATCTTTAATTGAACATCAACTACTTCTAAGGCCCGTGCTGTATCTTGCACCACTTTTAGGGTTAGGGATTTTCCCTTTTCTAGGAGCTTACGGCGCAACAATGACGACTTGCATTTATCTATAACTTGATCTCTGATTTGTTCATCAGTATCTGTGAACTCACAATTTTGTGCTTGACGTTGCAGTCTTGAAATGAACTGATCTATAGTTTTACCCTCCTCTTGTTTTATTTGACGAAACACATGTCTCTTATATATTGCATTTAGCTGAGGTATGAAATACGCGTTCAATGTTCGTAACGCATTCTCGTAATTATCTGCATCGTCTTGTTGTCCTTCAGGCAAGTTTCCAGGTCCGGGATCAACGAGTGTCTCAAATAAGTCCTGTACGTCCATGCCAGCACAGTGTAACAGCAAGGCTCTCTTTTGGTTGTCATCTTTGACACCCTTTCCGACGATATAGAACTCGAACGCTTTATTCCACCTTTTCCATCTAGTCGATACGCTAGTGGGGTCACTTTTGCAATCAAACGACGGAATGCTACCAATATCAATATTTGAAGCCATCTCAAATTAAACTTGTGACTTTGATCCCGTCCTCGTCGCCAATTGAACGATCGCGGCCGATGTTTAAATGCCGGATGCGTCGGATTTAACACAAATAACAGATTCAACTAAGTTATGCAGCCATCTTTATTTGTCAACTCACGTTGTCTTACAATATGCAAATGAGATGTGATCCAGAGGTCAAGATACGTTTAGTCAATACACTACACATACTGTAAAACCATTTATTTTCTCTGGCATTTAATTTCACTATTTTTATTTTTTGAGTAATTTTACAAATAGTGCTACAGTTATTTCACACGGATTTCATTTATTAAACAAATAAGGAAATTAAAAACAAGTGAATGATTAAAGTGTTTACAATACAAGGTTTTTCTGAATGTTGGCATGTATTCTTGTTTGACCACAATATGACTTCTAAGGTCATACACAACTATGTGAAAACAGAAACATTAAGAAAGCATATATATACTAATCACTCTACCAATGCAATACATAGGTATTAGGCAATTAGACTGTTATTTGCATATTTCAGGAGATGGTTTCAAACTCACTCGAATATATGTTGCTGTCTAGTTATTGTCAATGTGTATCAATTATACAAATATCTCATTATACTACCACGTGCAATTCCTGACAACCCTTATATTCAAATACATGGTCAAATGATACTTTGCCTAATGCAAGGATTATTGTAAGGTATATTTTCATAATATACCTGCCGGACTAGTAATAACTTTCTTGAATAATAAGTATATCAAATTTGGCCTTTCATTTCGATAATGTTATTTTTAATTAATGTCAGATTATTTAAATGTTGGACCGTTATAGATGTTCTAAAGTGTCGTTAAATTCAAAATGACGATCAGACACATTTATGTAACATTGACTCAGATGGCGAAAAAGAAACAACCACCATGTCACATTTTAGCCAAATTGGCCAAGTATTTGTTTCTGTTATGGCAGCCACTGTGGTAGAATGAAGCTGCGAGCAAAAACGATCGGCTCGGACCATTAGACTATTGACCCATCCTTGATATGCCACACCCATCATCAGAGTAATCAAGAACATGTATATCTTATATTTTAGTTGATTGCTATGGGTTGTTTGGTTTCATAAATTTGTAATTAATTAATATTATGTTCATTAAAAATGCTGTTTTCTTGTTGGTTACCATGGGCTTTAGCTTAGTAGCTATCATGGACATGTCCACCTCATTTCTGTGATGAATGTTGATCTTGTCCATCAGATAGCATACCTGTATCAGCAGGATTATTCGATATGGTGCATGGTAATAATGTTACAGGTAAAGTGAAGATAGGTAGTAATAATGGCACACGGTAAAGTGGATAATGTTGTACACCCACTCCATATGACGAAGAAACCTCAGCCATTTCCCGTCCATTCAATCTATTGAAACACAAAATTATAATGGTGGGTCATGCAAACTTCTGTGATATGTAGTAAGACATATGATAAATAAGACTTTAATTTGTGACTGGTATGTTGCTGCTGTGCTAAATATATGTTGTGTATAACTACATAAAATATATGTTATTACCAGTATTACTAGCTTAGTATCTTATCTATTAACACACACAAATTGTGAATACAGTGCGATTGATATTTAGCTATAAACAGGTTAGCAGCGCAGCGGCAATAGTGTGAATAGATGGTTTGAATCGCATCAGTGAAAGTAGTTATATAACTTCACCCAGGGCTTACTTACGAGCGATAATGTTTTAATTCGTACTTGCGCCAATGTATTTATTAGTGTTGGTGCTTTTAATGTATTGAAATAAAGAATTGATAATGATAATAATATCTCTGCATTTTCCATTCCATAGCCTAGTCTCCCGAACAACTGTGATTACAACGGTTATAGTCCTCCCTCTGCTGACAAACATAACTATTTCGAAAAGAGGGAGACGTGGTTGCCATGAAAACAGCGTTTACGTGAACGACGTTTCAGTTATACTTTAAAATAATATGGAGATTTTGATGTATTCTTCATGATTACCAAACATAGTAATTATCTGATTTATTGAGTTAAAAAACCATTTAAAACTAAATTTAGTTTTTCTTCTGCTATGTCATATACTGTAAATGTAATACAAATATAGTTTTGACATAAGAAGACATACAATAGAGTTATTAGAGAGGATAAGTAATCTACATCAGTACTGGAAGTTTGCTCTCTCACAGTGTCTTCCATTTAATGTACTGGGATTGCACACACATTGAATTATCATGCATTAAATATATAAATGTAAAATGTTCATAATAAGTCTATAATTGTAGGCCTTAGGAGTTACTACACATCACCACACCATCAATAACAGAACAGCAGGCTTCACAACAGGTGTACCATGTTTGTTATGTGGAAACTAATTACAATATGGCTAGTTTACTATACTTGTATAATTCAGTTATGATCAAAATAACATTTTGTTACGACTATAAATTAGTCCATTCATGTAACACAACAATGGTTTGATACAAACTATGTGTGATAAGACAGCCAATGAAACTTTAATAATACTTTAAGTTTGATTGGTCACGTATTGCATTCATAAAATCCTGGCAACATTTGGTATCAAACATGCAATCTACTAGTAGAGGCGTAGAGGGCGGTGACGAATGAATGAAAGTATTAATAATTTTGCTGAATTAGTCTTGAATGTACAACTTGGCATGATTTGAATTTACCAATTCTGTAACATATGATATGTACGCATTATTACATGTGTATGAATGACTCTTTATTACAATGTGTAATACTATACTAATACTAATCAACAGTATTATATACTTCTATCTTTTCTTTCCAGGAACACTTCAATTCCTTGCCATTTCAAAACTTTCCATTGAACGGAAACATTCTGATAACACAGGTAACCATTTAAATTCAATAAGATTCATTCTGATAATTTATTAATTAATAATGTTGTAGAAGTCAATACTATTTCTTATACTTAATAATATGATCAAGATATATTTAGCAGTATAAAACTACCAGTTGAACAAAATATTCTGATAATGCAAATTTAATAGAGTCAGACTAGTCCTGGTTCAAATATCAAATAATCAAGTAACTGGTTAGTGTCCCCAAAATGATTTGCCAAAATTCAAGTTCAAAGATTGTTCCAGAGAAGAAGCAGTTTATTAAGTATAAGAATTAATATTGAGTTCTGTAAACTTAAGGCATACTAGTATTTCATACAAGTTTATGGGGTTAATATTACCGCAAAGTAATGAATTGTGTTTAACGTATATTTGTCTAGAACCCCAATCCTTATTGTACGGCCAGTGCTATACAAGACAAACAGTAGATGAGTATGTATAATATCAGGCAATATTAATCACATGACCTCTACTGATTTCAACCACTGGTAATTAAAAATACAATAGTTTGTGGATTAATTATAAACACTTGTGGAGAAGTCATCAATCAGACTATTCAACCTGCCAACAGGATTATTTGAGATGAATCATTGAATAAGTTGAATAAAGAAGTACTATTTAGTCAAAGTAATACTAGTACATTGTATGTACAGACTTGTTTACAACATGAAAGACAGGATTTAAACTCGCCATTATGACAATCACCTAGCATGTCTACAAACAGATGCACCACCTACCACTTCGTGCAAGATAGGATAGTCATAACAGTAAATTGTGTAAGAATGACTACAGAACAATTCTTACCTGACAATTCTGAAAGTGTCAATACATCCTCCCAATAAATTCTTACAATGGCAAAACAAGTTTGTTTTACCATACACTGGCCGGAAAATGACAGTTGGTGTACTTTCTCACGTACAAAACCTAATAAAGTGGCTCATACTAATCAATGTGAGACAGCTGGACCATGCTGGACTTAAAATAAGCCATAATGTTGCCTGGCCACCTTCTTGGCTTCCTATTTGTCCTAGTCATGAGCTAGTGGCTAGGAGAGTTTGTTTGTGAATATCAGAGGAAACAGGTCCTCATTGTTGCTTGTCTCAAGATCAGCTTAGAGTTTTGATACTTCTTAGCTCAACCCCATGATAAATAATGGAATGGTCAACCTAAGCTGAAAGGACAATACAAATATACATTCCCTCTGGGTAAATGAAAGTCATCAGTAAGTCATAAAGCAGTATATCCCATATGTGGTTTCCATATGGTCTATTTCACTGCAAAATGCTAGCTACCACAGTATTCGATCTAATATAAGTTGTACAAGTGAGTGTCAAATTAATTTAGGAATCAGTGGAAATTCAAAAATGAATATGTGCTGCACATGGTTACTAGTTTCCATGATGAACAAAAAACGTCTTATTTGATTGGTGAACTAAAAATAGGAAAAATTAAAATTTATTGAAAAAATAAAAGTTAGGTTTTACAGCGCCAACTTGTATATGAAAAGTCGCCTGAGTGGGAACCCTGGCTTGACAAATTGAAGGTGAGGGTGTTATACAGTGATCGTCTACTACATATAGCTACTCAAACGTCTGTTAACTGAAACCTCAGAAGGTATCGGATTGATTGTAGGCGAATAGGAAGCACTGAAATACACATCCAGTAATCCAACATTGATAGTCATAAAGGGATTTCAACAAAGTACAATATATACAGAAATTGTTGTGCTACATGAGACAAAATGATAAGTGTCAGCATTCACAATACCTCAAATTTAAGAAATAATGAGCATGTCCTGTCCTACCGGTAGTAACCGCCATATATCAATCTGAGTGGTCAATTCGTGAATGGATCTTCTAAATAGAACAAATGATGTTGAAACAATCAGATATCATCTCTCTTGGTGATTTGTCGTATTTTACCACCAGTTATCATCTCTGCTATGGAAATGCTTGAATAAGACATTCTTTTTTTAAAAAAAAACGTTTGTAAAAATCCTCAAATCATTGTTTGACAAGCTGGGGGAATGTATACAGGATTGTTGTTGATACCTGAAAGGTAACATGAATGATTTCGCCTTCATGTCTTTTTAATGTTATTCTGAGGGAATTCTGCCTCGTAAATCGGAAATAAATCGGCCAGCAGAAGAGTACAGAAGAGCGCCAATGCTTTGTTGAAAGACATGGCTACCAAACTCCACAAATATGTTGTCATACTGACGATGTTATCTTCTGTGGAGAATGTTTCTAGCTCCGCTGTCATCGTAGAAGCCAGAGCGGAGATGTTCATATAGGTGATTGGTCGTTGTTGTCCGTTTTTGTCATTTTTGGTAAAAAAAAGTTATTTTCGGCTTGTTCTTAAAAACTACCAGATCAAAATCTGTGATACTTGGTACCAAATTGAACTGGCAGTTGTCAAGTAGAAGTCTTATGGATCTGTTTTACTCGTCGACTTGGCTACCACAATGTTCTTGTAGAACATGTACAGCGGAGCTATTTCGACTGTCGGGTTGTTTGTTGCTGTTGTACACTAATACAATATACTTGTATCATTGTGAACAATTTTTTTTAAAAAAGCTTGTCATGTGGTATGACAGTATGAAGTAAGAAAAAACATGCCATATATTTATACAGTTTAAAGTCTAACGCATTATTCAATCTACGGCAATGACCATTCATTCTAAAACGAAGTGTCTGTCCTGCTTCCCCAACATATACCAGACCATAAACGAACAATTAATGCTGTAGATAAAGTTTTAAATAGTATGATCTAGACGTTCAAGACATATAGCAAGAAATGTATTTACAAGCATATTAATACATCTACCAGTGGATCAAATCCCTTTACCCTCATAGATGACAGGGAAACCCTGACTGGCAGCCTCAGACCTACTTCACTTAGCCCTGAAGCTACTGCCTTTCTCAATATCATTGTCATAAGGATGGTAAGTGTTAGGCATCATGTGTGCAGGGGAGCACAGGTGGTTGACTGAGGCATCCTGATGACGTCATTGTTCTGCAACTTGTCAGTCCAGAATTCATTATTAGATGAGCGCAGGTGTAGCTTAAATGTAGCTGACCTTCGCTGGTAGTGTGTAGCCTGCTTTACGAACGCTTCTGCTATGAAATCAGACAATGGTGATTCCGTTGTTGGCGGAATGATACATAACGTCACCACACTTTAGGGTAGTGGGTAGTTCAGAAACTTTCCAATTAATTCAGACAATATCCGTCTGTAAGAATGTTCACTGACATTGGGAGTCGAGATCCTGAGTTTGAAAGAGAAAACAATACTGGGTTATGCTCTCACGGCGACATTGCTCGAGCATGCTCGGTCTGAGGATGGGCAGCCGTGCAGCATTCTGTCTGTCTGGGCTCCTGAGAATCCATGTATCCCTCTCATATTTGGACTTCGGCTAGGGTCAACCAAAGTGTCAAACAGGCGATCAGCTCTTAAAACTAATTCGATGACTAAACTGGCTAATCCAGTATGGCATGTATTAAAAATGCATTATTGAAATAGTTTGATGAACTGTTCGTTTATCCATTGTTTGGTGTTAAATTTTCTCTGTTCCGTATGTCTTAATTAATTATTGAGCGCAGCATACAAACAATTGTTTATGTCGTTTTTCTACAAAATTGTATTTATTATTTTAAGCTACGAGATTCTGTGCATGAAGTATTTCAATCCGGCGTAACTGCAATTACAAGCCTACAAGCCGCAGTAAAAAAATCCCTGCAGTCGCCTAGTCAAATCGCCAACAATGAGTGCTGCCAACTCAACGTTAACGATCTGACATACAGTACACGATTTGGCAAACCTGTAAGTACAATTGTAACTCTCTATTTAGTTTTGTGCATTTTTAACCTTGTGTATATTAATTTAACTGAAAAGCTTTGAGAATTAAGTGAAATCTGCACAATGAATGAATGCAGCAAAGCCCAAATAAATTCACATTACGTGTTGTTGTGTGCTTTCATCATAGATCAGTGAAAACTATGCATGTGAAAGGATCTCCCCTACTGTTACCGATGACCCTGAGCGATTGAGCAATGACGTTGTGACTGTTATGAAAGAGAACAACAGGCAAATACCACAAATTAAATGGCAATATTATGGCACTGAACAAGGAATGATGACGATATACCCTGCTAATAAACAAAACGGATGTGACATATATGATAATAGATACAGGTACTGTTACTGATCCTTAAAACGATTTGTTTATAATGCGTATTGATTGTACACCGATGATTGTAATAATAATAATAATAATAATAATAATAATAATAATAATAATAATAATAATAATAATAATAATAATAATAATAATAATTATAATAATAATGTGTGTGTTATACTTGTCAGACCATGGTATGTTGAGACAAAATCCCCACACCCTAAGAACATTGTCATTGTGTTAGATAACAGTGGATCAATGAGACAAAATCATGGTGGTAGAACGTTAATGGAGTTCGCAAAGGAATCGATTAAAACTGTTTTATATACACTAAATCCAAACGATAAGGTGATTATTATTATTAAACTTTGTTATTTTATCAGTTCTTTTTTATTGTATATTACCTGTTGCGATAACGAGTAAGCAGGGATAGTAAGAATTAAAGTTGTACTTTAATTTGAATATTAAAATGTTCGTGAGTTATCACTGATCAAAACCTGTTACATTGCGCCTTTATTCGACTGATATATTTACAGTGCTTCACTACAATAAATTCCGAACTGATGTTATTCTTTTATTAATACATCCTTTTGATTACAGGTCTCTGTCATTTCTTTTTCTGACGCAGTGAGACTGCCTATTGGTAGCGGTAGACCTGAATGCTTTGGAGAACGATTAGCGCAAGCAACACCTCTAAACATTGATCATCTGAATGACTTTTTACAATCTCTTCCAATTGACGGTCTGTAAACAGCAAATATACTTTTAAGACATTTGGCATTATCTTTGCAAAACCTATCTATTCGAAAGCTTTATTGATTTACTTTAAATGATATAGTTATACACGTCCATTATGAATTATTAATCTGGGAAAATATTAAACATGAAAATGTATTTTACATCACTAGATTCCACTAAGTATCTAGCAGCCTTGAATACCTCGTTTGATTTATTAATTGCGTCTAGACCAACGAATGGTGAAAACAGAGGTATTTAATAAACAATCATACGATTAGTGTAATTTAATATCTACACTCGTTTTCATTATACAGAATAAGAACATCTGGGATGGAGACTTCTAGGTGTGTTATGG